GAAGGAAAAAAAGTGTATAAAATTATCCCAAGTGATTGCTTTTTGGCAGGGTGCGATATAAGGTCACAATATTAGAAAGCCTTTAAGTGTTGTGAACGGTTGAAGGTGAAAAATATCCTACAATAAGGTATATATATATTGTGTTATAGACATAAAAAAGACAAAAAAAAAAACAAATAACTTAGGTATAGAAGAATCAGTTTATAAAGAGAGATGAAAAATTATTGATAAGATATAAGACAATTAATTATACTGCTACTTAGGTTCTATTGAATATTGTCTAAATCATCTATTTCATTATTATAGTAGCTTTTTGAATGACTTGAAATTTAAATTAATTTTATAAATGTATGAAAATGAATGATAAGCTGGTAAGAAGATTTTGAGAAGCTTGATATACAACATAAAAAACTCATCGCAAAAAAGAATATTGGCATGAGAGAGCTACCCAATTAACATGCAAAACACATTCAAGGGTGCAATACCCTAAATAACCAAACAAGTCAAATTGTTTCAACAATTATGTCTCATTTTTCTCACCACTTGAAAATCTAAACTATTTATATAAATTTCTACATCTGATTTCAATCAAATTGATATATAAAATTTGTATATGAATTATTAATATATTTGATTTTATAAAAAAATCATTAAATTACTTTAATCATACTATTAACCTAATAATTATTAACAGCATTCAGCTATTCCACTAGTCAAGCCATGCAACAGGTTGATGGATTTTAAGGGTGCGGATTAAGTGGAGTAAGTGATTTTATATTATAAGTAAACACTTCATTTTGCCACTTCTCCCTCTCCCGTAGCCTTCGTTTTCTTGACCAGCACAATCCCGTGAACAGTTGGGGTGTTGGAATGGAGAAACGAGAGAAGCTACTCGCAATTTGGAGACTAAAGAGGAAAACCAAACAAAAAATTAGGAGATTTTGGAAGCTTATATGTATGATAACTATGTAAATTTGCAATTAAGTATCAATATTTGTAGTTTAATAAAGCTAATAAGCCCCTTTTTATTAGTCCATGTTAGCCCTGAGTTGCAGTTCTCTTTTTGGTTATTTGGAGAGGAATTTGAGGCAGTAGAGAGGATTTTGCTGTTAAGGTAAGGTGATTTAGTTATTGGTGCAAACATGTATGATTATTAGTAGTTAATTACATCTAAGCTAAGCAATCCCTTTATTTCTCCCTATTATGAGGGTTATTTTTAGGCAAACCGAGAGCAACTAGGTATTGCTTGTATACAATTAGAGAGGGAAACAAAAGTAATTAGGGAAAAATAGAAAAAGGAAATCTTACATGAAAGAAATTCGTTTTGACATAAAACTTCAATCAACAGTTATTTGTATTAAATTGAGATTGATTTTAAAATTTCATCAATAGTTATCAATCATCTGTTATTTATGTTAGAAAGCGAGCTCGGGGTTGGTGAGCCTAGGAAAAAAGTCATTGCGAGACTATGCTGACAATATAGGTAAGATATTCAATTGCTAAAATAACAAGCAAATTATCTGTAGAACTGATACTTACAGCTACTCATTAATATATCCTACTTTTGTGTTTTTGCGTTTAGAATTCTTTCATATTGAGCACATGTGATTATGTTATCAAATTTACTTTTGTGTGTTTGCATTTAGAATTCTTTCATATTGAGCACATGTGATTATGTTATCAAATTTGTATTCATGTAAAAGTTTACCCGCTTATTTTTAGTTTATAGAACCCTTATAGAAATATAATATTAAGTGCAATTGTTGACTATTACCAATCACGCTATATTTCCTATTCATGCTAATTAATTTGATTGTTAACAGGTACATTCATGTTTAGCAATAATGACATGAAAATAATTATAACAGGTAAAGATGACGATAGAAATGGCAAATATGATATGATAGGTAGATAGTTATACTAAAGACTTGTATAGGAGAAAATAATAGTTCTAACACGATTGGCCTTGATGAGAAAATGATTGTCCAAGCTCTTAATGTTAAGGTTGGGGTGGACTAGTTGGCATAACTGAGCCATTGATAAAGCACAACACTAGGATGATCAACAACCTTCATTAACAATTATGATAACCGACATACTGGATGATGACTCAATGAAATGAAAAAATGTTAAAACCTATGCAAATATAATATAATATTTTAAAGACAAAAAATGTTAATAAAAAGGATGAAAATGAAAGTGAAGTATATGTAAATATGATATTTCTTAGTAAAGTGACTGACTGACAAGTCAATTACAGTTATGTATATTTCTGACAACTATTTTATATTCTCTATAAACATATTTATTCATTTTACTGTTGTTATGCACATTAATCACCACCAACAAGCGCATTATTTCTTCATTATATATTTGAATCATATTTTAGCATTATGTATCTCAATAAGAATATAACTCATCAGATATTATAATATTGATTTTCAAAGAGGGCAAGGAACTACATAGATCATTAGTCATGTGACCTACTACTTTGTATAACTTTTTAGTGTACATTTTTGGTTGTTTATATACTTAATATAGATATTGGATTGCAGGGTTCGCATAATTTCATATTAAAAGTAAATTTTTAAAAGCTCTATATGTTAATTGAGGATTGTTTATATAGGCTTCTTTATTAATGTTTGATATCAATAAATATTAGAAGGATTAAAATATAAGAGTTTGCCTACAATGATTTCGTAAGACTAATTTTCCACTCAGTGAATCCCGATAAATACAAATCAAAATAAGTGTAAATGTGAATTGAGTTTAACTACGTACTCTTCTTTACACCTCTGATTAACCAAAAAGGATCAACGTGGGGCAATGATAATGATGAAATGTCTATCAGCATTGCTTAATAATAAAATTTTTAACAAGTTTGTTTAAAATGTAATTAATATTAATCTCATTTTATTTTTCTACTAGTGGTTCAAAGCTTTAGTGGAAGTAGCATAACGATGACAAAACAGATTAAGCACATTTATAGTCAAAGTCCTATGTCTAACATGTTAAATTTCTACATGGGAACTAATTTAAAGCACATTCAACCAAGTGCATATAAAAAAAAATCAGTTGATTGTTGTTGTTGGATAAACAAATACAAAAAGCTGATGACCATATAATTCGTGAAGATTTCCAATCAGATGATAAATACGTGGTTAATCATCATGAGGAAGAAAATGCAAAAAAGCTTTGTTGCATCAAAAAATAATGAAATATTGATAGTTTTGCTACTAATGTAATATAAGTTAGTGGAAGTCCATAAATATCCGCAAATGCCGACAAAGCCAAACATCAAAATACATCAAAGGTTGGTAAAACACATTAGTTGTGAAATATAAAATAAATTGTCATTTAATGTTATCTTATTATGGTTGTATTTATTAAAATAATCTTTATGCAGGAAAAAAAAAGCATCAATTTTTGATAAGGAAGAAAGTAAATGGGAACACCAACAAGAGAATGACGGAGAAGACGAAAAAACTATTAGATATCAAAACAATCTCTAATTGATACATTATTTTAGGACACAAAAAATGACATTTAGGATATAATTCTATCTTATGTTAATAATGTTAAGCTTTTCAACTCAAACATTCTATTTAATTTTTTTAAATTACGTCTTATAAAAATTAAGGTTAATTCCTTCATGAATTTTATGTCTTTTCGAATTTTTTTTCAAAATTTTATAACTTGTATTGGTGTTTTTAATTCAAAACCTACACTGCAATTCATTTTTGAAACCTAAATTCAATTCAATTAAGAAAATTGCCTCAATTCCTCGTATATTTTTTGAAGCCTTGCCAAAATTCATTAATCATTAACGTGTGACACCTATTTTTTTGATTTTCTGGGCTACTATCATATTTAGAGAACAGCTAAGTCAATCGCCAACTACCACCTGCCATAGTCTAATGACTACCAACAAACGATATTTGACTACCTTCAACTACCGACATCCAACATTTGCTTCCTAGTCATCTAACCTTTCTGCCTATGAAGAGGACGATTGACCCATCCTTGTCTACTTTTTAACGTTCCCCAATAAACATTGCCTAATTTTTGCCAAAATTTGACATTCAACTTAACAACCACCAACATTTTATCACCACATGAGCGGGGGTCAACCAAGTCAATCGCCATCATCACTTAACTTATGACATTTATTGTAACCTCAACAGCCTGAGGTGCACCTCTCTAATTGTGTAATCTTAAACATGTCACTAGCCTTATTCTAAATATCTAGAGGTAGGCTTTAGAAATCAACATTTTTTATCAATTCTTGTTAAGTTTTGTCAGAGGTCTTAAATATACTTTTCAATAGTTCTTGTTAAACTTCTATTTATTTTATCTATTAGAAATATTTATTGCCTTCCTAATCCTTCAGCGATAATTTTTTATAACCTCTAATTGTTGTATTTTTCTACTATTATATGCATATGTCCAAATAATTTGAATTTATCTCTAACTCCCCTCAAAGAATGACACTCTAATATATCCTTTAATATAATATTTATTTATTTTTCCAACACTACAATCTTCATCTTAACATTCTTATTAGTAGGTGGCAACTAGTTTAATTGAAAAGGGCTTTATACACTTTTTGCTAAGGCCTTTATTTTGATCTTCACCTACATTATAATAAACTCATACCTTACGGACTTTCAAGTGGGAAAAAAACAATATTAATGTTCTCATTTGCTTGAGGAAAAATTCTCTATGAATGACTTTTTCTATTGCCCGAGATTTGTTTAAGAAATTTATCACAATACATCGAATCCAAAATGTTAGAAAAGCATTAAATACTGATCAAATACATATTTCACGATACATAAAAACCATAAATAGAATATTCGATCAGATATACAGCTTCAACACGTCCCCCAAATCAGCAGAAGAAAAGAAATGAGAAAAAACACAGCTTCAATTACGTCAAAACTAATCCAGCTAACTCACAAATGCAGTCGACGAAAAACGAGGAATGATTCCAAGCAAACCTGGACAAGGGAGGAGACTGGGGTTTGATCAGCGTAGCAATCGCCTGGCTCCATGTTGAGGTACGCAGTGGCGCCACGCGCCAGCTCGCCTGCGGCCTCTACAGCCTGAAGCTCCGCACACTTGGTTCCCTGTGCGTAGAGGAAGCCCTCTCCGACAACCTCGTCGTTGCGAGCGATGACACAGCCGAAGTTAGGGTGGGGAGCAGTGTGCCCCGCTGAGTAGTCCGCAACTTCCGCTGCCCGAATGAGGAGAGCATTATCATGTGCCGCGCTCGCAGCGCTGCAGATTGGGCGAGGGCCGCGGGTAGGCTTGTGAGCTCTAGAAGAGGACGAAATCGGAAGCACGACGAATGACGGCCGAAGAGCCATGGCACAACGAAAGAGGCCGCCGCGACGGAGATAAAGATTTTCCGTTGTGAACAAAAATTTAGAAATCGTCCTAATAAAAAAATCTTTTGAAAAAAGAATTTAAAAAAAAATTGAAAACAACAAAGTTGGCATCTATTAATCAATTTTTAAAAAAATTATTATCTGTGAAGACTGCATAACACATATTAAATGGAGAGATTATTATGTCTGTCGCCCAGAAGTAGCTCGACGTCGGGCGACGGATGTAATAATTTTTCTATTAACTGTGAGTTCCGATCTATTAACTGTGAGTTCCGATAAGCATATGTGATCATCTACACAAAAATTTTCTCAAATTCTCCAGACTATTTATCGATTTTCGTCTTGAGTAATTTTCTTAAGAAAAAGGCTCACTAAAGCTTTTACTTTTTAATTTTTTTATCAAAAAAAGTATGATCAATAAATAAAATTAAAATTAAAAAATTTAATAACATGGAGAATTATTTAAATTTAAATGTGTAAATTTATTTTATCACAAAACTTTTTTACTTTGAATTAAATTATGGTCAAAAATATAGTTTTTATTATTACAGCTATTATTATTAGTAAGTTGGAAATAGAAATCAACCAATTGGAAAAATATTTACATAATAATTATTGTTTGAGTTAAATTCTAGAAAAAAATTATTTATGTAAATGAATTTTAAAAATATTTTAGTAGTTTAATAAACAATTATTTTTTTTGGGGAAGATTTACTTATATAACTCTTTTTTCATATTATTTTACAAACCTAAAGCTTAAACTTTAATTTTTAGGAATGTAAATAAATGTGTACTTTACTTTTCAGATATATATATACATAAGAATTGGGTTGTAAGTAAATGCCCCAATCTCTTTTTGTACATCAAAAATGTGTCAACGCAAATCTTAAGGTAATCCAATGGAATGAAAGACAACAAGACAGTCTAATTGGTCCCACTGACAAAAACCAAAGGACATTGTATCATGATAGTCAAAAGATGGAAATATCATGGGTTGTTTCTTTCGATCGGAACTCTGAGTCGACCGAACAGAAGGACATTTGGATGAGAGATAGAAGGAGTTCAATCTAAGAGGCAGTCGTTTACGATCAACCATCCCATTCAATTTTGGATTTCCTCACAAAACGGCCAAAGGCCCCTGACAAAATGTCTCTTTGACTTTCTGAGAAAAATCTTTGTCCATGAAAGGCTGCCCATCTCATTACAGTGGCACACCCTATGTCTGACGGCTCAGTTTATCCTGATAACAGGAGCACCTCTTCCCGGAATTTTCCCTTGAAAACCCGACAATCAAACTTAGGCTTACTGGAGACCTTCCAACCGATTGAGAGTCTTCCGGTTGACCAAAGGCTCCCATCTAACTGAGTGATAGGGTCGTCACTGGGTGTCTTTATTAAAGCAGTTATGAATACGAAAGGCACCAAAATCAATAATGAATACGAAAAGGAGCCAAAATAGATTTTGAATATTAAAAGGCGCCAAAAATAACCTTTAACAAGCCTATTGAAGCAAGGCCACACAAGTAATTTACATTAGGAACCCCTCAAATCTATAAGTAGGGAGACATTTCTATAGTAAAAGATTATTGATTCGTCATACCTAAACTCTTAGATTTATAATGCTCTCTCTCTCTCTACCTCTCTCATTCTCTCAATGATTCTTTTTCCCAACATTTGCTCTATTCCTTGGGCGTGATTCATAGAACAAATTTGAATTCAACATCCTAAAGGGTGAGGGAGTGTGGATCATGCCAAGAATTAGAAGAGGAGCACAGCACGAGGAAGAAACACATATGAGAAATACCATAAATATAAAGTGCATAAGGTAGTTTGTGTAACAAGTGATCCAAGAACTTAGAGATTAGATGATGTGTTAGATGACAGTGTTGACCCAAACATTACTCAAGGGATGAGAGTAGGCTCCCCGGGATAGAGCCTTCAGGAAGAAGAACCTGAACCCCAAGGTCGTTGAGTGGCTCAGGGGACAAAAAGACATAAACACTACTAGTGTCAGAATAGTGTCAGGTTTGAATAGACAATAATTTGGGCAAGTTAAGGCCCACTACCAGCACGAGAATGCATTCTCATGGCAGATCTATGATGCTAATCCACTAGAAAAGCTCAAACTTCCTTCATTAGAATCCTACAAGGGTCAGAGTGATTCGACCAACCATATCAATTCCTTTGTGGTCTACCTTCTAAAGATCTTTGATGCATTGAAGTGTTAGCTATTCTACACCATGCTAACGAACTCGGCTTTGAGGTGGTTTAATGGCCTCCCAATAGGAGTGATCACCTTGTTCACAAAATTGAAGAAGTCGTTCAAGGCACAGTTCGCCAACGCCTAGAAACGCAGTAAGAACTCACAAGCCCTATGGCATGAAAATTATGGGCTAAATGAGAATCTTCATTTGTAAATCACTAAATTCTACAAAGAGATGTTGGAAGTGTGGGATCTAGAACCTAAGGTAGGACAGGTTGCCTTGGTCAAAGGGTTGAAGAGCAATTGATTCAAGTGTGCTCTGGGTTTGCAATAGCCCAAGAGCCTAGTTGAACTTCTAAAGTTAGCCAATAGCCTTATTACAATGGAGGAGTATGTCCACACTTCCTACTAGAAAGACAAATTGTTTGACCGTCACTCACAGAAGAGAGCCTCATGAGAAGATGGGTTGAGGTTGAAGGATGGCCTCGTCGAGTCATTCTCCTCAGACACAAAGATAGTTGACCACCTTTGGGCAGTAGAGGGGTCGATAAGAACGACCGGAGAGGAGGATAGGGCACGACAAATGACCAATTACCAGACCACTACCATGATTGACAGTAGGACGGCCAGAAGTTACAAACACCCACTTTGTGAAGGATTTTTATGGCAAAGCCGGTGGAGGTCATAGAAAATAATGAGTACCTCAAAGCCTCCACCAATAAGAATTAAAGCTTCTCTCTAGAATGCAAATAAGTTAAGTACCATAGAGACCACAACCATGGCAGAAGACTGCAGGCACCTCCAAAAGTTTTTTAAGGAATTCATTCTAGCCAAAAAACTCCAGAATTTTGTGGCACCAGGGGTGTTAACCCAAAGGAATGGGAAACCTAAAGTAGAAGAAGTTTTTTATGAGTCTGTAGATGCCAACATTATCCACATTTCTTAGGATAGTGTCAGCATTCTTGGGAGGAAACTCGACTCAGCAAGCCGATCAAAAGAGGCTCCGAACAACGAAATTGTGTGTCGTCTCTTTCAATTAAAAGCAGAAGCCTTGTCCTTCTATCATCTTTACTGATTGAGAATTGTCGTCAAATGGAAACCCCTACAATGATGTTGTTGTGGTTACAATGATGATAAACAATACCAGATTGATAGTATTATGGTTGACATTGATAGTTCAGAGAGCATTCTATTCAAGTTAATCTTTGATAAGATATATTTTTCAGTCGACCGGATAGTGATCCCAGTGAGCCCTCTCTATGATTCTCTCATAAGAGAAAGGAGGCCCTGAGAACAATCGGGCTATCAGTCACTTGGGGGGAAGGTGACAATTAGTTTACAAATATGGATGCTTTTCTTATTGTTGTCATCTTTGGTCGATTGCCCACTACTCAATGACTTCAAAGTCATGGCCTCCACATACCAATGCTACAACAATGTATCCATATGACAGAGAAATCATCACCGTTCAGAGGAATTATGGCAGTCTTGAACATGTTTTCTCCAAGGGTAGATAATGTAGAACAAGAGTTATTCGATATCTAGAACTAGTAAGAGGTGGTCTCGAGATTGATGAGGCCACACTAGAGATTACTAAAGTTGATGGAAATCTGGGTAAAATTTTATAATATGTGTAAATTTTGATGCAGGACACAAAATCTACTAATACAGACTCTTTGGGAGCACCGAGACATTTTTCTCCGGTCGTCCTCTGATCGGGCTTGCAATTACCCAATTATTTAAGCTCTGAAAGATGACCAGAAACTTGACTCAATTTATATGCAATGGCTAGTATGCAAAATAAATATGTTATAAAATTAATTAATGACATACACACTAGGGGTACTACACAACTATATGTATTGTTTCAAGTAATATAGTATTTTCTTTAAAAACCTCCGTATCGAACCCACAGCGAATAAGTGAATTTCTATGTCAACTTAGAAATATTCCAACTCAAAATGTAAACAAAATTTGTAGAAGAATAATATCGTACTGTTTGTAAAAAAGTATAAACTAAAGTTTTCTAATTCTAAATTAAAGCTAAAAGTAAATGCAAATTTTCTAAACTACAGATGTGTCAAGGAGTACAATTATAAAAAAAAAAGACTTTCCCCTGCAAAGAGGTTGTGATCAATTTAGGAATCAAATGGTTAAAGATAAAAATGAGGTTTTGTGACAAATAGGAGCATACCTATTCTTTACCCTCTCCCAAGTGCATAAACCAAGTGCATAAAGAACATGTGCATAAAGAACATTGACTAATCTAAAGTTAAGTTCATGATTGATATGGTTGTGTTGAGTTGATTCTAGCCTCTCACATCCAGATTACCTAGTGTACCCTCTTTATTAGGACCAACCAGGCCTCTAGTTTCAAACTAACAACAAAATTGATAAAGGCTCTAGTCTGTCACTCTAGATTCATCAATTCTACGCCTATTAAAACTTATCTCCCTATTTATTTGCACTCCCCCTTGGACTTGGCTCTCCTCCATCTAAGGTTTAGTGTGGTACTCACTAGTTGGGTGAAATCATAGCCCTCTCAGGTCATGTGTTTTGCAACAGATTTTAATATCACAAATGACTAGTTTACAAAGTAAATTAAGAACCGGTGAAAATACCATTTAAAATTTTTGAAATAAAATAAATCTTCAAAACATTCTAACCCCACACATGATTAGTTCTTATTACAAGGAAAAATATAAGAATACTACTCATAATTAATGGGGATAACAAAATAAAACATAATATATATTTAAAACCAAGTTCACTAAATAAAACTTAAACAAAAGTACAGATACTTTTCTC